TATCATTTTGCTTCATTACTTTTAATTTCATTGTGACTCACTAATGAGATTAACACTTGGCCAACTTATTGTTTAAATAAATAGCCATATGACCAAGTGGGAGAATGTTAGAAATTTGTTCTATTTAAGTGGTCTGGACTATTTATATTAATAATTATGTTAATCTCATATTAGTGAAAACTGTTTTATTTAAGTCTTTCATTTATGACTTATTGACATACAGCTCCTCGGACTATCTTGATGGACGATATTGGTCCATGTAACCGACTATAACTAACTACTATAAATATGTGGTATCTCTTTCACTAATTCTCTTGATGCAAAACCGTATGATATAGAAATGGTCTCCTTTATTCTATCATCTTGAGTGCACCATTAATTGGAGACTTTAATACAAAATTCTAACTCCATCATAATTACGTTGCATTAAAGAGAGTATTATGAGTGATCACTGCTTCATCAAGTAAGACAATCCTTAGTAATACTACAATTAAGTTTTCATTTCTCATCTTGTAGATTGAACCATAATATACATGATGATTCTTTATTATGAACATACAAAACTCGATCCTTTTGATTATTTGTGTTGTTTAACTCAAAACAAGATTTACATTATTTGCATTTGATTGGTTCCATTTTTTTTATTAACCTGGATATCCAATCCGCTATGCGAGCAGACTAATCCCAGGACGACCACCTGCTTTGTAGATAGCCCGGAGTCACCGCATTTGAACCTCCATGATCACAAGGGGATTTTTATTCCTTATTGGATTTGAATTGGTTCCATTTATTTGCAACTGTTTTCTGTTTTTGTTTATTTAGTTATCGTTTTCATATGAGCTTTACTCTTTTTTCTCTGTCACTCTCTATATATAAATATATAAACAACTAGTAGGATAATATATGCCATATAATTAAAACGTGACATCTTTTAAATGCTTATTATATATCAACTAATATTTTGATAACCCTCTAATACCAAGTACTAATGCCATCACCTTCGACGAGATGGTCGTAAATTGGTTTGAATTGATCTTTGTGCACAAGTATACGATCAAGCATTAAGTGGATCAAACTCCATTTTATAGTTACATCTAGGGCTTGCAATGACTAAGGCTCTTATGTTTCGATCCGTTAGATAAGAGTATGAGTAAAGAAAATCTTATCTATTTATCTATTTATCCGAAATTTTAATGGATAAGATATAGATAAACGTTTTTTTTGTTATCCATTACCCTTTACATGTTACGATATATATATATATATACACACACACACACAGACAGGGGTGTGATCAAATGAAAACCACTCAATTTGTAAAAATCGTAAAAACCTCAGTCCACTAATCATAATTTTTCATTTTGTTCATATTTTTGTAATTATAAGAGGTTGATTAATCATTTTTATTGTGGAGGATGTTAATCATGGATATTATCATCTTCATTATTTTAATTTTAGAGAAATACATGAAACAGTTTCATTAAAATTTCATTAAGTAATATATGAAACAAATTCATAATCATGTATGAAACAACTTCATCAAAAAAAAGTATTATATGAAACAATTTTACAAGATTAAACAATTTCATGAAAAAATTTCATATGATTACGACGGATGAAAGTAGTTTTTACGGTTTTTACAAATTGAAGTGGTTTTCATTTGATAACTCCTCTATACACACACACACACATATATATATACACACACACACACACACACACATATATATATATATATATATATATATAGGGTTGAGTTCACGTGAGACTAACTTGTTTTCGTGAGACCTGTGATACCACTTTTTTACACTTGAAACTTCATATCAAAACGCTCTGAATGTAAAAAAAAAACCGAACCTTCACAGCACTTCACAACGTTTTGCTGTGAAGTTTCAAGTGTAAAATAGTGATCTCACGGGTTTCACGGAAACAAGTCGACCTCATGTAATCTCAAGTCTATACACACACACACACACACATATATATATATATATATGTGTGTGTGTATCAATATATGTAAAGTTAAATACTGATATATATATATATATATATTATATATATATATATATATAGACACACATATATACATAAATAGATGAAGTTAAATATTAATATTTGTTATAATGTAATCATATATCTTGTATATCAATGTATACTTTAATTTACTTTATATATATTTATCGAGTAAAAGAGTTCATGATAGTTAAATGAGAAGTAAGACAAGGTTGAAAAAATAAATACAACGAGAAGTGTTATTTACGGTTTTTATATTATTTTTAAAACATTATACTATGGTTATATTAAAATATTTACTATAACAAATTAAATATAAAATAATTACTATATTTATGAGTTTATGTTTGAGGTTTAACAATATTATTTATAGTTCAAATTGAAATTTGGTTTTACCATTACCTGTTATTTTAATGAGTAAGATAAGATATGGATAATAGGTTTATGAGATGGATAATTATCCATTTCCTTACCCGATATTTTAAATAGATTAAATAACAGAATACCCCTTACCCTACCCGTTTTGAGCATTAGGTATATCAAATGTTGATTGGTAAGATATCAAACCAACATCTCTGCCCAATAATTTCTCTGTGTTTGATTGATTCTTTTACCTTTACAGCAAGTCAATTTTAACATCAATTAGTTCATCTAGGCTAGTGTCAACTTGGTTTAAACCCTTTTTGCACTGCTAATTTTGTAATATGCACAACACAAGTACGCAAAAAACGCCACCACATATCAGGTTCAAAGTCAACTTTAATTTTAGAGTACATGTCGTATTGTTAAAAACATTATCGAATGAAATGCAAAATACTTTAATTGTCAAATTATAAAAATTAGTAATATTTTTAACATTTTATATAACTCGATTTGCTTTGAAAATTCACATATATATCGAAACTCTAAAGTCTTGACTACTACACAATATTTTTCCACATTTCGTTTTAACATGAAATTTTTGTCCGCATTAAGTAGCACGCCAAATATTTGCATTGCACTACCTTGACGATATTGCTAAGTACTAATTTTGTCAAACGGATTTATTTCAACTATCATGTTCATGAACCAATGACCCCGCTTGAGAACGACAAGAACCAAGATTGTATAAGACCGTTTTTGAATTGAAAGTCTAGAACACAATAATATTGAAAGGGATAAAAAATAAAACCCGAAATAAAATCAAACTAGAAAATATATATCGAGATCATGAATTATAAAAACATGACCGACCTATTTATGCATTTTTAAAATGACAAAATAGTAATTAAAAAGGAAAAAAAAATAAAAAAAATGTAGGGAAAAAAGACAACAAAAAAAGTAATCGTTGAACAAGAGTGCTACCATTGACACCATCTCTTGAATTATCTCATATACTATTTCATAAATACAAAAAAAAAAAAAAAACAAATTTAACCAAAAAGAAAACTTAAGAAAAAAAAGAGAACCGTGGCCGTCTATCTCATATACTATTTCATAAATACCAAAAAAAAAAACAAATTTAACCAAAAAGAAAATTTAAGAAAAAAAAAACCATGGCCGTCTTTTTAGCATTTTAACATTGTTTACCCAGATAAGCGCTTATCAAATAACATCATCTTACCAGATAGATATGATAAGTACCAAGAATCTTACCTGGTAAGAGCAAAGGCAAGTCCCGAAAGTCTTACACGGTAAGTGAAAGCAATGACTCTTACCACGGTTAACGCTTACCGGATAAATTGTTGCATTTGATATCATTTTGATGGATTAAAATTTACCCGTTGAGTAAGTCATGATGTTAAATGTTGTCGATAAACACTTACTCATATAAGCGTTTGATAAACGACTCTTAAATTAAATATTTAAAAAGAAAAAGATAGGTGTATATAGATTTTGGGGAATCCTATTGAACGCTGTCAGGCGGCACTTTAAAAAAAAAAAAAAAAAGGCCTAGTGCCATATTAGCCTAACTGGAAAGGACCGACCAGGCCACCCTTAATTGGTCGTCTTGTAACGGGCTCTTTGGTTCAGTCCCGGTCCGTTTGCCATCTCTACCTACATTTGTAACAAAAACTTAGCTATATAAATAAGTCTAAAGATGCTAAAGAATCTACGTAGAATTTGAAAAAAAATACGGGTACGGAGGGACAATAAAACTCCGTTCCTCTTTCTTCAACCTCTATTTTTTGTTAATCATGGCTGGCCAGCTTAAAGCACCTCAAGTAATCCCAAACCTTGGAGAACAGTGAGAAAAATCCCATCGGATTTGAACCGGTTTACTTCTGAGGAGAATCTCCAAAGGTCCAAGTCCTATTGCCGGTTGACCTAACATCACTTTCTAGACGCTGCCAAAGCCCTTGTGGCCCTAGAGGCTCACCTGCGATGACTCTTGGTCATTCATGGTCGCTCTAGGGATTAGGTGGTGCGTGTATTACGTGTAAATTGGCCCGGTTAGCCACGGGTTACCCAAAAAAGAAAACATAGATTCACCCTTCCCATGACTTTTTTTTTATCCAATGCAACTGAACAATGCCTTAAACGGTCGGTTGTTCTTTTTCTTGGGATAAAAGTGGGTCTCTAGACCAACTTGTGCACAACTCGAATCCCACGGATCCAATTAATAGTCAGTCAAACCTCCAACGGCCCTAAGGGTGCGTGTGGTAATTGACAAGACTAGATAGCACGGGAAGGGCGAGAAGAAGGAATTGCGAAAGGTTTAGAATTTTAATTTGACCTAACTCATGAGTAATTTAGTAATTTAATCATCTTGTCTCATCTCTCTAATTTCTGTTCCATCTATTTCGTGAGACAAAATATGCATTTTTGTCTAACCCAGTCCTATCGTGTCTCAATCTAATGTCACGCCAACAAACCCTAGATCTTACATTCTTACTAGTTGAGCTACCTCAAGAGCTATACATATTTTCCCTATAGTGTTATACAAAATTAGTGGCACAGGGAGAATGGACAAAGTCATGGATCAGTTTCAAGAAGTAATGAAGTTGTAGGGCAAGGTTGTTATTTTCTCAAATTTAGTTTTGGGTATGGAGTACAAAAAAGGCAACAACTGTACCTTTGAACTTTATTATACTGTACACAATCAAATAAATGGAAGTCCTAAGCAGAAGGAGCCAGAAATAAATTTTACACAATATCCATTACCTATTTTTGATAATTATTTCAGAGACGACTTTCACAATAAACAGCTGCTCTTCAATAATTACATCTTTGCACTTCTTGATGATGATTTTACAAGCACTGCATTTATCCAGGTGGAAAGTTGATAAATTTTAGCTGTCAAGTAGTAATAAGTATGTATGCCATTAATTAGATAACAGATGGATTATATGGGTCAAGAGAGAGGTCCCGTTAGGAACCTCATTTTCATTGAGAACCGGGGAACCACCAAGAGTGTAGGGACGTGAACTTTTTAGAACATTCATAATGAATACGGACACGTGGCACACTCTCGATGGTTCCTCAGTGCTCAATGAAAATAACGTACTGCTGCCCCTATGAGTCAATGTCACCAACTAGCTATTACTGCATGGGTCCAAACAGGGGATCCATTTTGAATTTTTGAAATCTAATGAGTTGACTTTGAAGTTCAAAATAAAAAAATGGGTTCTAAATGTTTAGTTAAATGAACTGATAAGTGATGTTCATAACAAGTACTCTTTGGGTCAAATAAATGCAATGATGTCCTTTTGGGGACGTCCCAAACAAGGGCAATGTTTCTCTTTTTGGTAAAGAGTCATCCTAAATTACCTGTTTGCACATTAGCAATCATTATGGAATACTAATAAACTTGTTTTTGGTCATAAGATTCATCTATTTTATCAATAACTTCATATTGAAGAGTGTTTTTCGATCTATACTAATTGTTAACCCCATTCATTAGTCAAAAGTTGCATTTATTTTTAGATGAAGGGAGTACTAGAAAACGGAAATGCTGGTGATAGATTTAGTTCTAAATCCCCATCAATTTTGCCTCTCTTCTGTGGAGGACATCAATAATTTGTGGACTTTGGAAACCAGAAATCTACCATTTTTATAGAGTATTCAGGATCACAAAAGAGAAACTCAAACAGATAACTGAAAGCAACATGCCCACTTACAAATATACTTAAGCGTGGATGTTACGGTTCCGAAAGCTAATTGTCATCCCATCTGCCACTGCACCCACAAAATAAATAATCTCATGATCAGTTTTGCAACAGTAAAAAGGATCCAAGTCTTCACTGGCTAGAGCAGCTGGACCATGCAAGGGCTCAAACCGGAGCTAAATTACGGATAATTACAGACAATGGATTCAGTAACACAAGAATTCTGTGGCTACAAACTCTAGCAACTAATTGACTTTAAAGAGAAGGCAAGGGGGATTTGAACCCATTGATCTTATTAGCATATAGAAGATGGGACCTAAGTTACCGAATGCATATGATAATAGAATAGCATGCGCATGATGCCATATAGGAAAGCAGCTTGGACATTATTATAAAATCAATTATACCTTCAGAGTTGGTTCCCCTTTGTTAGTGTTAGAAGCCTGTTTTGCAGCTGCCTGCATCTGAGCTCGTGCAGCTCTACCTGCAGCTGATTGTGCAAATTGTTCTTGTCTGCAAATTCAGTCACAACAATATGGGAAGTTTTGTCAATGAGACACATTTCATGATCTGTAATCTTTCTATACGAAGAAACATTTGATGTATCAAATAAGCTAAGTATTTCATCGTATTGGTACTCCATCTGTCCTAGAAAGAAAAGAGTCCAGTTTAGGTTTGAAAATTCAATCAATATTTTCCAAATTAAAAAGCCACACAAGCATTTATGTTTTGTAACTTCAAATGTTTTTAATTCTATGGTTTGTTTATAGTTTTTATTTCTATCTAGTATTTTCCAAATGCTTTTATGCTGAAGATGGCTTTCGCTAGCGACATTTGCCTTCATTTTTTGCAAGAAAAAGGCTATTTTTAAGGACTTGAACCCTGACCTTTTGCTAAGAGAGACCAACCACAGAAATATCTAATTTGACAACTTTGATCGATTTTGTTTATTTGACACTCAAAAATCACATACTTACTCTATCTCGACAAAGGAGCCTATCATTTTATAGCCTTAAGAGGAAGAATGTTGATGTAAACTTTGAAACGAAGTTCATATTCGTAATGGTGATTTACCAACATATAGAAGGAAGAATGTTGATGTACTCTTTCAAAAGCATTTCCAATTTTCGAACAACTAATAACAACTCAATCTTCAGGAAAGCAATTTTGAGAATCAATGTCCCAATTGTAAGTCTAAATGTCTTGGTGATTTACCACCAATGTATCACTATATGGGTTTAGTTTCTGCTACAAAGTCGCATATGTTGAATCATATCTATCTATAGACCAATCTATCACGTCTTACAAAACTTTTGAATCCTTGCTGTCTCTTTCAAACATCTGTAGAACCAATATTTTTACAAAACAAGGATTAAGCTATAAATATTATCCCTAGCCCCTCTGCTATTATAGAACTCGAAGTCAAAAGGACTAATACCGGACTTCAAAATTGATATGAATAGCTCCTAACTTTCTAGAACTGAACAATTAACTGAATTACAAGTTTTATAAAGTTATCGAATTTCCAAAAAATTCAAGCAAGTAATTAATTCACAAATTGCCTCTTGAACCGTAAACATCAAAGTAATCACTCCTTCAATTTATACTAGATAGTTTCCTCTGCTACATCAATCCTGTACCAAACTATAAAACAGCCCTAGGGCCACAAACAAGATTAATTGACTGAAATTGCAATCGATCAGATGAAAACAACTACGCAAAACGCAGATACTGTTCAAACAAATAATGATTTAGAAATTCTGAAGAAGGAATAGACGGATTATATTGAAATGAGAAAAATGAATTGCCTTTTCTCGGCGGCTTCAGCAGCTTTAGCTCGAGCTTCTTGAGAAGCTCTGCGTTCTTCCTCCAATCTCTCCTGTTTCGCTGACCCTCCACCGAAGCAATCCAAGCAACCCATCTCTCTCTCTCCGCAAATAAAATGACGCCTTTTTTCCCGTCTCAATTTATAAATAGGGGGCCTGGGAGACCAAATATATTGGAGTAAATTACAGATATCGTCCCTGTGGTTTGGTGATATTCTGGATTGGGTCCCTCAAATGAAATAATTACAAGGATGGTCACTGTGGTTTTCTTTCGTTACGGATCAGGTCCCTCATTTAACGACTGTTAAAGTTCAATGTTAACTTGGTGGCATCTTCATTCTTTCAATGTGTTATGAAGTTTGTAATTCTTCAGGGGCCTATTTTGCAATTTTAAAAACCCAAGAAACCCAACTACACGCGATTATTGTTTGACAACTTTAAACCTACCCATCCTCTTGATATCTTCAAAACCCATTGTACCAAAATTACATACCTCCACAAGCCTACTGATTAGGGGTGACAATGGGTCAGGTTGGGTTGGGTTTGGTTTCAATCCATTTATTAAATAGATTGAAAATCTCAACTCAACTCAACTCAACTCAACCCATTTAATTAAATGTGTTGAGATTTTTCAACCCAACCCAACCTGTTGGGTTAATGGTTGATAGCGGATTGACCTGTTTACGATTTTTTTAACCCAACCTGTTAAATAAATGGGTTGAATCTGGGTTGACCCACTTAATTTAAAATTTTAAATAAAAAAAGAACTAGAGTATTTAACTTTTTTGAATAAAACATAACATAACCACAAATACAACCAAATTGTTCAAAGTTTGAATAAAATACAACCACAACAAATATATTGTTCAAAATAAGTTGAAATTTTTTAAATTCTAAGTAGCTCGACTTCCACTTTCATCAACCCCAATTTCACTCTCATATCTAAAATCCTAAGACCTAAAATCCTAAGTCCATTAGTCCGTCCGCAAGTGTAATCCATGCGTACAAAACAACAACTTATATGTAGCTTGTATAATTATCTCAATGTAGACGAATGATAACAATTATCTCTGAGGTATAGGTACAGTGATAGAATCAGATAGCCACACCACAGAAATAACAAATTCAAACTTCAAAGAAATCACTAAAGTTCGATAGAGTCATAAAGTAACAAATAATCAAAGAGAAGCATGAAATTCATATGATCTAAACGAAGTTTAACAACAAAATAGTAAACAAACATGATCATAAAGAACTTACTCTGCTATCGTTCAACAACGCCTCAAGCCCTCAACCTCAAATCGGAAACTGAAAGTCTGAAACCAACCCAAATCTTTGATTGGAAAAGGTAGAACTCAAAAGAAGGGGAAAAGATTGATAATCGAAGCGTATGAAGATTGAAGAATTGAAGAATCGAAGGCAAAGCGTCGAGACTCATGATACTGATTAGTAATAAAGCGTATGAAAAATTGATTATTGAAGGATTGAAATCGAAGAGTGTTAGCTCTAATATTTACTTCATGTAAAAGTATGAAAAAGTATTCTGCAAGTGTTGACAGAAGGGTATCTTCCACAGAAGATAACAGAGGACTAGCATCAGAAGCTGTTTCATCGTGCAAGTA